TTTATGCATGATGAAAACTTGTAATTTTATTTTTATAAGCTAGCTAGCAGCTTCCTCTCAAATAATTGATCAGGAAATTTTAATTTAAGCTTTACTTCAGGCTTTTTTGAGTTATGCGCAGCATGCATATCTGTTTGCGCAGAGATAGAGAGAAAATGTGTGTGTGCATATATGTCTGTATGCTCTGATTATACAGTAATGAAAAAGAAATTTACTCCTAAGCAATACCCTCAAGGTGCAATTTCAACAAATTGTTTTATTTTTCCTTTGTGTGTATTCAGTACTCACAAATGACAAGCCTTCTTTTGCTCTTTATAAGGTTTTGTCTTCTGTTTCAGGATGTAGAGAAGACTCAGTCTTTTAACACTCAATTCATTCCTGACCTTAAATTTTTTGCCCACAGGGTGAGTGGGGCAGCTTTTCCTTCTCCCACTGCTGCTGAGATGGCAGAAATTAGTAGAATTCAATATGAAATGGAATACACCGAAGGTATTAGTCAGCGAATGAGGGTCCCGGAAAAATTAAAGGTAGCACCACCAAATGCTGACCTGGAACAAGGATTCCAAGAAGGAGTTCCAAATGCCAGTGTGATTATGCAGGTTCCAGAGAGGATTGTTGTCGCAGGTATTTTACATTTCTTTATTAAGTTGCCTGATGATTTTTGTTTTATCTATGACTATGAAATCTTTGACTTTTCAAAAGGATTAGCTACAAATGAGTCTGGGAATTGCAACTTTGTATAGTTTTTCAAAATTTCTATTGCAGTCATCAAATTGCAAACAATATTTTTAATAATTCAACTAATTATTAAGGTGTAATTTACAGACATAAATGTATACTTTCTAAGTGTACAGTCCACACACACGTACGCCTGCCAGTACCACCATGGTCCAGTGACAGAGCATTGTCATTACCCTGAAATGTTCCCTGTGCCACTCCTCAGTCAGTTTCCATCCGCTTTATAACCAAAGGCTAGATGTGTCTCTTCTGAGTTTCCATAAAATAGAATGATGAAGTGTACACTCTTGCTGTGGCTTTTTTTGCTTAGTGTAATGTTCTTAAGAGTCTTCCATGTTGCTTTCTCAGTTCATTCCATTTTTTGTTGCCTATTCTTTTACTGTGTAGGTACACCACAGTTTGCTTATCTACTCCTGTTAATGAATGTTAGCATTACCACCTCTTTTGATGCTATTAGGAATGAACCTTCTGTGAATATTCATGTACAGATCTTTGTGAGAACATGTTTTCATATCTCTAGGAGTGGAATTAGCAACACATAAGTTATGTTTAACTATGAGAAGCTGCCAGACATTTTTCAAAATGGGTTGTACAGGAATTTCCCACTTTCCAAAAGTTCATGTTACACCTTTTGGTTTTGATGAGAAAAAAGAATCCTGGTCCATGTTGATTCAAGGACCTGCTTTAGTCATACATCATTTTTGGTTAAAGTTGCAGTTTCCAAGATTAAGTAAGGACTTACTATACCCATTTTCACTAACAAAGTAACCCAAAGAGGATTGTCGCTTTTACAACAAAAGATGAAAAGTGAAAACAGTACTTTACCTGTGTTTTGCAGCGCACAGTTACCGAGGCAGCTTGTGTCAAGTAGCGAGAGTCACACTGCCTAGCTTCTATGCCAGGACCTATTTCTACCCTCAGGATGTATGTCATCCCCGCTTTCACGATATGTCATCGTTACTTTAGGTTTTATGTTACTTGGCATCATTTAGTAGGTTATTTTTGGGGTTTGGAAATGCTAAACAATCTTTTTACATAAATGGTAACTGATTCTTCGCTTTACGCCATTTTTGCTTAGGAATGGTTCCATAGAAACATCTACTTTCAGAAACCTGTCCATTTTCTGTGCCCCTCAGTGACATAAGGGAGTTTCAGTCGCTTACATCCCTGTATTGTCAGGGATTTTAATTTAGCTGTTCTAGTGGGCCTATGGTAAGTATGCTTTAATAAGAAGTGGCCAATTTTTAAAATGTTCCTCCTCTTGTATTCCCAGGAAATAATGAAGACATTCCATTTTCAAGACCAGCAGATCTTGACCTTATTCAGTCAACTCCCTTTAAACCTCTGGCACTAAAAACACCACCTCGTGTACTTACGCTAAGTGAAAGACCGCTAGATTTTCTGGATTTAGAAAGACCTCCTCCAACCCCTCAAAATGAAGAAGTAAGTAGAGTTTAACAAAACAATTTGAAATAATAATACATGAGAGCAAAAGTCTAGAGGCTATACATCTTATCATTAACCGTGTGTAATGAGCCTACGTGGAACATTAACTACTAAAATTCTGATTTTTAGATGCCCCCACTGAAATTTTAGTGCTAGTTTTCACTTTAAATATTATGTTTCAAGGAAATGGAATTTTTGTAGAAAGCATTAACATTTAAGTGATCTGAAATGAAGAGCTTTTGGGAGTTAAACCTTAAGAAATACAGGCGTTAAGGTGGTTAATGTGGGAAAAAAATCAGTACATCATTTATAAAAGCAGTCTGTCAAATAGGGCAAAGAAAGCTCTTTTTCCTTTGACAAGGGTGAATTTTGTTATTTTGTGTTTTACCACAATAAAAAGAAAAAAGAATGATCTTCAGCCATGGCCAAATATCCTCTTGAAAGGCAAAATCACCTCTAGTTGACAACCTCTGGCCTGTCACAACAAAGGAGGCGATCAGAAGCCTTATGGAGAAGGTTTGAAGTTACCTGCAAGCCCAGTGAGAAAACTGCCCTTGTCACATCCTAAACAGAAAGCAAATAACAAACTGGCTTGAAGAATTCAAGGGAATTCATGAAAAGGGCTTAAAAGGTGAAGCAGATAATTCCTTTGCTCAGAGAAGATTTACACAATGTTGAGACTTGGCTGGTAGAGAAGAAATTGATGGACTTTTTCAATGGGCCACATCCCTACCAATATTTGAAAATCACTATTAGGTCAAAACATGACCTCTGATTGGTGAGTCTACTGATGGGGTAGTAATAGCACCTGAGCCGTGAACCATCTAATCCAGCTTGAAACTGCAGGGCGCTGATCATAACAGCTCTCAGTGTCCTTACAATATTGTGAGTCAGGAGGAAGAAGCTGAACACTCTCTCTCCCCTCTCTCAAAGGGGTTCAAACTGGAGTCAATGAGAGAAGATCTTCTAGAAAAAAAAGTTGAAAAATAATGTCAATAAAAAGATTTTACAGTCTTGTATGCAGTGTACCCCAATCAAAGATTTGTATTCTTTTCAAAGATCCACTTCAGTAAAAGCCAGGAGGTTTATGAGAAGATTATCATAGTGGGAAGAGAAATCAGATTGGACTAAAGACAGATTGTAAGAATGTTTACCTAAAATATCGGCTCCTGCTTCAGACAATAGTGATGTGAGGGGATGCCATTCCATTGCGGTGATAAATCTTTGGAAAAGCTCTGGACCCCAGATACACCCAAGAATTCTCTACAGCGTAGGTCTCTCAGTGTGTGTGTACCTTCCTCTGGGTTAGGAAGAGATGAACAAAGGCAGCTGTTTTCAGAAAGGGAGCTGGGTTCAGACTATGCAAACTTCACTCAGAAGCCTCTAGGCATCCATGGGATGTCATACTTGGTCCGCAGAGTGTGCATCTATGGGCTCAAGGACTAGCTCCAGACCCAGCTAGAACAAAGACTCATCAAGGACCACACTCACTTGCAAGCAGCTGCCTTAGAAACTGTCAAGAAGGATAACACGAAAGTCATGTTGCTTAACTGAAGGCTCTGGATGCATAGCCCGCACCTATTAACTAGTGTCAGTTGATTTGACAACTTATGGGTGTGAAGTAAAAAAAGAAGTTGACCTGAGAGGTAATGAGTGACCCAAACATAGGACACACGCTCATTAAACACAAAATCCTAGGCACTCGTGGCTACTTAAAATCATCCTGCAGCGGCTCAGAAAATCAAATTGAAAAATGGGCTCTGATCAGAAGCTGATTGTGGTTTGTTTTGTTCCCTCTCCCCTCATCTGTGGAAGAGCAGTGGAGCTGATGAACAGAATGGAGAGAGCTGGGGGACGAGAACTTGTGTCTTCACATAGCCACCGTGGACGATGTGGCACTGTCGTGCTCTTTGGGCAGCCTCTACCCCTGCTGACATGTGGGCCTTGTTTCCTTCTGTAACCCTCCTTTACTGTCTCAGCTGTTCTCTCCATCGTTCATTTTGAATTTTGGACAGTGAGTTGATCATGGAGGGAAGGATTTTCATCCTAGTTATTGGGCTTGGATTGTTAAAGCTTCTTTTTCGTTTTCAGCAAAAATCCCTCAACAATTCAAAATTCTCACCTCTGTGCTATTATTTTGAAAGAGCATTTTAGCATGTATAGAGGAAAATACTAGAATATGAACAAGATGCTTGGAGGAGGTAGACTCAATACTATACACCTTTGAACAACACCATTTTGAACTGTGAAAGTCCACTTATACATGGATTTTCCTATAAACTTAGGGTATTGTGAATACATATACTTTCTCTTTCTTATGGCTGCTTTAATAACATTTTCTCCCTTGGCTTTATTGATAGCAATACATTACATAATATATGTAGCAGAATATATGCTAATGGAGTGTTTAAGTCATTGATAAGGCTTCTAGTAAAAAGTAGACTATTAGTACAGTTCTAGGAGGATTTAAAAATTTAGAGTTTTGACTGTGCTTGGTAGGGATGGGACTGGGAGTGGGGGGCCTGCACTCTTAAGACCCTCAGTATTCAAGGGTCAGCTGGTAGAACCAGTAAACGATGGCCTGGAGGACACTGATTTGTCCAGGACCCTGTGAACACTCAGTGTAGGTCAGAGCGTACATCCACCAGAGGGGAGTTTTATGCCTGTTAACAAACGCAGATGACCTTGTGACCAAATGACTTCCAAGTTTCCCAGCGCTTTTGAGACTCTCTCAACCTCAGAGTGAATACGGGTTTTAAGCTTATGTTTTAATGGCTTATGAATGCAGGCTATTTCTGAAGCACATTTGAAAACCTTGACTTGCCAACTAGATTTCAATAAAACTGGAAAGTAATTAGCTTGAAAAATAAATGAAAACCTGAAATCAAAAACACCACTACCACTGTGAATTGAAGAGTGACTAAATTCAAAAAGTCCCTGTGTTCCTTCTCATCCCAGTGACTGAGTTCTGTGGTGTTATAATGTACAAGTTAGAAGGCATGACAATATAGGCTTTTGTCTTAAGTTCCTCACTCTCCCCCAGATGATAGTAATATCAAGCTTAATGTTCTTAAGGTATCTTTCGAGTTAGGTTTCAAATAGTGACGATAACAGTAGACTGGATCCTTTTGTCAGACCATTGATGTCATAGACAGATATATCTTCTCCTGTCACTTCCTATCCTGCTTAATCTTAGTGTTCAGCGCACAGCAGCAGGAATGGTTCTGATTTAGGAGAGAATCCATATTAATGCCTGCAGCATGGAGGAGCTGCTCTCTGGGGATGGCATCACAGCCGCGCAGTAGGTAGGAAGGCCAAGTACTGTGCATGCCCAGTAGCCAGTGAGCGCTGCTCGCTGCAGGTAAAGTGACTGTGGAGGTGTTTGACACGTAATCACAGTGAAATATGTGTTGATTGAACTGGAAAGAGCTCTTGTAGTAGGCTCCAGTTTCCTTTCCTGTTTTCAGAAGCTATTTTTTTTCTTTAGATGGGTAAATGGCCTACAACATAGCCACAGTTAAGCCATGCTCTGAAATTAGGTGCTGTATGGTCTGGTTTTCAGGGTTTTTTTGGTGTGAAATATAAGATTTTGCTTTGCTGGTGGTTATAATACACATGACACCCCGTTCCCAAGCCTACATCAATAAACACTGACTTGCATTTTTGAAAAATTTAACTTTTGAGTCCATTAGCTCACCTACCAGTTAACCTTTAAAGCTTGATTTTTCCAAACTATCAAGTGACCATGACTTTCTACTAAAAAAAAAAATTCTAAATGAGGAGAGGTAATGATTCCCATTCTCATTATCTATTGCTGTATAATAAATCACCCTAAACTTAGTAGCTTGATACATACACACGGAAATTACTTATTTTGCTCATGGAACCTGTGGGCTAAGAATTTGTAGCAGGCAGCCAGGGAACAGCTTGTTTCTGCAACCTCTGGGGCGTCTCAAACACAAGGGGTAGTGCGGCAGCTTGAGGCTACAGCCAGCGGAAGGCACACTCACCACACAGACGCCGCAGCCTGTTGTCTCAGGCGCCCTTGGCCTTTCCACGTGGCTGTTTGGCTCCTCACACAGAAGTGTCATCGCTTAGCCAGGAACATCCTGAGGGAAGGAGGCAGAAGCCTCACTGTTTATGACATAGCCTTAGAAGTCACATCGCATCATTCTGTCACAGTCAGCAGCCTGTTCGATTTCTAGGGCGGGAACATCAATCCCGTCCCTTAATGGAAAGAGATCAAAGAAACTTTTTAAAGACGGTCATGTGGGAGGGGAGAGTGGCTATTATTGGAATGCCAAAACTTTTAAGCTAGAGAGGCTTTTTTTAGTCTAATCTAACCAAGTCTGATTTTGTTGCATCCCAGAAGCCAGGGACATTTATCTGTAATACAAAATATCCCATTTTCTAAAAATAGCTATGCCTTTCAAAACTCAGAAGTGTTCTTAAAAAATAGCAGGTACATAAACTGGGGTCAATAAAAACATCAACATTTATCTCAAGCAAGATTGATGCTGTACAAAGAAACCAGAAGTATCTTTCCATAAAGTAAATACGCATTCCTCAGCCTGTCAGCATTATCTGTAGGACTTGAACACGCGTCCGTCTGTAATACAGCAATCCTAGCTTATGCTCCTTATAACTTTTGTGAGTAGCCTTGGATGAAGATTCTTTTAATGCTGTGCAGCTACTACCTACTAAGAATATTTCCTGTTGCTTCCCCTTTGTGTCCCTCAGATCCGTGCAGTTGGCAGGCTAAAAAGAGAGCGCTCTATGAGTGAAAATGCTGTTCGCCAGAATGGACAGCTGGTCAGAACTGATTCCATGTGAGTAGAGCCAACAGCATTTTCTCTCCTCCATTGTCTTTTCCATCTACTGTCTGTTCATTTTCCTAGACAAACCTCTGATAGTGTTGAGAATGTTTTATATTTACATCCATTTTACATTTTTTGCAGTATTTCCATAGCCTTAAGATTTTAAAACTGTTTTGTTAAGTTGTGAGCATTTTTCAGAAGCATTTTCCTCTTGTATGTTTGTGGTAGTTTTTTATACTATATTTGCTATTTTGGGAATTTCCTGTGAAGTATTCTTAAGAAAACTTGAGACATACGTATAATGCTCACTTCTGTACAACCTTCAGAAATGTTTAACTAACTCTGCTGGGAAAAAAGGGAAAACATTTGATAAGGAACTTTATTTTCAAGTTGTTCAGTCTGTCTTAAGGTTACAACTGTTCCTTCCCACTGCTGTAGCCTAGACAAGTAGAATTTTTCTACTCTCCAGGAGAGTTTTTCAGTTTTCTACTAAGTCATTAAATTATCAGATCCCTTTCGTTTCCCAGAAATATAAGTGTGTTATTTAAAGGACTGTTTGTTTACATTTTTTAAACATAATATTATATATACCCTGATCTTAAAACTAACCCACTCTTAGATATTTTACATCAAGAAAGTGCTTTCTGTTATTAATAAAATAATCCCTTTATTTTACAAATAAATATCGCTTTCAAAACTGGTCAGAATTTCAAATCAAAATCAATGGTTATTGTGGGTTTTTTTTAATAAATTATTTAGATTGTTTATGTAAATTAATATTTCTTCCTCGTTAAATTTTCATGTACGTATGTGACACCAGGCATCGTATCAGCTACTCTGGGAACTGCCAAAAAATCAGCAGGTGACACAGCTCTCGTAAGGGTTTGCGAATCTAGATAAAAAGTAAAACATGTATTTACATAGGAAATAGAATAGAATACAATATGCCATTTATATTAAACCATGTCAAGTTGTGCTTTGCACCTGACTGAAGTACATAAGGATGCAGAAGGGGCTTTGAAAGGGGGCAGAGTCATCTATAGTGCAGGCGCAGTGAACAGTAATGCTTTGACTCCTTGGAGAAGCCTAGAGTAAGTTAAAATTAATATACAGCTCCTTCAGGGAAGGCTTATGCAAAGAGATCAGCTGTTAGTAATGCAAATTCTTTCTAATTTTTTTTTTGTGTCCCTAAAGGTAACTTGTTTGGAAGGAATGTCAGCCAGCCCATGAAATATGTTTTTCTAGAATATTTCCAAATGGTTAAAAATATACACTGTTTGTGGCTAAGACAGATCTTGGTGCTTTTAATCTCTGAGAATAATTAAGCATTTACCTGTGGGCTCTATTTTCTACTTGTGATCAAATTTTTTACAACAGCAAAGGTTTCTAATAAACTTATGTAAAGATGTGGCTTATTATTGAGGTCCTTAGTTACTTTGAAGTTTCACATCAGTGAAATTAAAACAGAACAACCTCAGTATAGCATCAGTTTTGTTTTCTCATAAGTACATGAGTAAATATCTAGCTTGTAGTTTTGCAGATACTAATAGCATAGTTTCGCATTACAGAAAAGATTGTTTGCTAATGCTTTTTTAAAATTGCCCTAATACCATTTTCTACATGTCTGATGAAATTGAAGATCTTACATTAACTTTTTGGTAGTAAAAATAACATGACTATTTAACTATACATGTTCATTAAGAACTGCTCACCTTACTAAATGATACGTTTTGTTATGATAGTTACCTATGTTACTATGTCTTGGTAAAATACTTAATCATCTTTTTGTTAATAATATAACCATGACTTTTTCTCAGACCATTATTAATTTTACAACTTATAATTGAATTTCTCTTTATGAATTTACATTTCACTAACCCTTAGGCATTTTATGTAATGAGCATATTATGTATTCAATGTTGGTAATGCGGTAAGGAAGAAATTGTTACTATATTGCAATTATAGTTTACCTCCTCATTTACACTTTAGCCTTTTCTTTGTAAGTGACCTGTGTCGTTGTGCATGAACCTTTGCCTGCCTCCACTTTGTTTTATTCCTTGGCTTTTAGAAGCATCATGAGTACAAGAGCAGGACCTTGTGTTCTTAATTACATTCAAGAAATAATAGGACCATTGTCAGCTGTTGACACAAAAATGCATTCTGACCAGTAGAATCTATCTAGCTTTTTATGTGTGTTAATAAAAGCTGAATATGTAAAAGGAGCATAATTATTATTTAAGGTGGCACAGATCAGATACTGCCCCAAGAAATAAAATTTCAAGGTTCCAGGCACCGATTTCTGCACCGGAGTACACGTAAGATTTTATCTGCTCTGCTTTTCACAAGTAGGTGTTGCTTTAATTTTGTAGGCTTGTGCTGTACTAACCTGTTTCACCAGGTAATTTGTGTATAGTAACCTAATCGCCTTACATTTGACTTACTAGTCCCTCTATTTCAGGATTTCTCAAACTGTCAATCACTTTGTTAAGGAAAAACAATTAGTTTATGCTAAGGAAGTCATCTATTTTAGGTATTGTGGTGAAAGTAAAATGGATCATTTATCCATAACAATCAAGCATCCTTTCACATTTTCTTTATTTTGCTTTGGCTGTTACATTCTCTCCAGATTCAACTTAAGCCGGGTTCCTGGGTACCTCTTTTTAAATTTCAGCACACTTTCTTGCCATGTTTTATTTTGACCCTGAAGGAGAACAGAGCCTAATTGTGGCTTATCATTTAAGGGTTTTTTCTGTTGTTCCATAGAATGTGCTTGAAAATGTTTTTGAGATGATGAAGCCCTCTCTTTCCGGGAGTGTGACAAAGTCCAGTGGGGATGGCTGACCTCTCCTGGGACATGATCTATAAGAATCCGACAGCTAATGCAGGAGAGACCACTCTGGCAACCCATATCTTGGCTCTCTTATTAGGCCTTCAGGACCTGATACATTGCCCTAGAAAGTGGCAACAAATTAAAGTTTTCTCTATTTAAATTTCAGGAGAAATGACAAAATTTGTTTTCAGTGAAAATTTGTTCTCACCTTTTCACAGTATTTGGAGGAGCCTGGTGCCTCAGCAAACACCTTATGGTCACAGTTTGAGAAGCATTCCACAGAAAACCCCTGGGAACTGCTGCTTGGTTGTGTGGATTTGCCTTTAGTGATGACACTTAAACCAAGTAGATGTTCATTCATGTTTTAGTTCTGAGTTGTCTCATGGTTTACTCAGCACTTTTGTAGCATTAAGTTGAGGTTTTGCTGTTTGATAACATTACTAGGATTAATTTATCGTGAAAGTGAGTTTTTATTTAAATTACTGATATTGTAACAACTACTATAACTTAAATAATCCCAGTGTGGTTGTAGTATATTTACTTTTTTACTTTCGTAAGAGTTCACTTGTCAAAACAAAAAAGTCCCTAAGCTGTGAGTGAGTGAGGGGGCTATGTGCCTCACAGTTGGTGGCAGTGGGGACCCTCCAGCCAGAGCCCTCTGAAAACTAGACTGGAATTTGCTCTTGTTCTCAAGTTTATTTTCCAAAGAGACTTGCAAGAACCAACATGAGAAAGCATACATTGTACGACAATGAAAAATGATGTGAAAAGTATATATATAATTTCAAAAAAAATGAAAAGACTTAGAAGATTGATAAAAGTTTTTTAAAAAGAATTGCTTAAAAGTACTTACTGCTTCTAATTAGGGCAGTTTTCATCATATTATTTCTTCATCATTCAGTTTTATCTCTAAGAAGTAAGTCAGGGACGTTTAATCTCTACCTATACTACCAAAAGTTGCCTTCAGTTTAAAAAGCAGATCCTATTCTGTTTTTGCTGTTTATGGAGGACTGCCATGTAAATTAATGAAGAATTCTATTTCTTCTTAATCTTTGAAATTTTCTTTCCTTTGAGAAACAACCAGAAATCCAAATGTGATATAATGGTCTTTGAGGAAGTGAATATCTACCAGTACTGATAGCACTTCCATTCATCTTTTAACTTTCTATATGAATATTTTGTCTTATAAAGTTACACTTTAGGGTTATCTCCCGCCCTCTCCCCCGCCCCAATTTATTGCCATACTCCAGCCTCCAACCTTATAGAATCTTAGAATTGGCAGAGATCTTAGAGACTGTTTTAGAATCCAAACTTCTGCACATTCCAGCTTAAGAATTCTTTGTAGGGAATCAGAAGTTAGTTTATGCTTGACTATAACCATCTGATTTCCTGTGTATAGAGAGAAGATACTTAAGATATTAGAATTCAAACAATTCTGTATTGCTTCTGACGAAATGATTTCTCTTTAAGTAACCCTCACCCTCCTTTCCTTAATTAATTTTTAATTGGCAAAAGTTCATCAAGCTTTTTCCATGGGCGTGGGTCCAGTTTGTTGACTTTATGCTCTAAAGTTATAATTCTGTAAAAAGGTAGACTTGAATATTCGAATGTAGCTAGTCTAACACAGAATATGTGAAATATTCAATTAAATCTCAAAATGGGAAGACAGAAACTTTTAATTATATTAATAGGTATTGTACTGATTAGTCTTTTAAAATTGCTTAAGTAAATCTGGCCAGCTACCTTGACTGCCCCATCCAGAGTGTAAGTAAATTATGTTTGTTGATGGAGAACTGGCCTTCCCCACCCCACCCCTCTAGGGTCACCTTTTCTAACATGAATTCAGTCTGGTTTCTTACAAAGAATATGAACTTGAGTGAGTGCAAGTTATTGCATAGGCTGTGTTCAAGATACACTGCTTTGTTTGTTCTCTTGTCTGAACCAAATGAGTTTGTGCCAAATGCCATGGTCAGTTGTTAGTATATATTCCAGAAGAGTCCTCATGGACAAACATACAGGGTAACCCTGCATGAGCCTGCATCTAAAAAGGTGTCTTTTTCTTGGAACCATTAAGCCTAATTCTTAGGGTAAAGCAGCTCTGGCAGATTGATTTTTCAATTACCAAGATTCAGCTTAGATCTTTAAAGTAGTTGAAACACAGAGTTTTCATATTTTTTGTGTTTCACTCTTTAGATTGTCAAGATGTTCAAAGTTATTCACAAAACTGTGGAGAAGTTTTCTGGGACCCCGGGAGTGACATTAGATGATAACTGTCCTTTCAACAAAGCACAGTGTTCTAGAACTTACTTCTGTTTTCCAACAAATCATTTTAAATGACAGTAGAAGAGATTATTATGCAAGCCGAAGTACAAGATTTTTTCCTCTTGTTCACTGTCCACACTTTTTATTTTGAACATAGTACATAAGTTTGAAATTTAGTCTGAGGTATTTTGCCCTGGCATTGAAAATATGCTGAGTCTGCACTTCAGGGTGGCAGTCCTCCTCTTACTGTAACAAAACCTCTTCCTGCTGTAACAAAACCTCTTAACTGTCACTAACCAGATGCCAAGTTCAGTTCCTGGTTAAATATCTCACAAGACCAATCATGCTTTAACAGTTAACCCCTCTCTGGCAGTCTTGACACCGAGCTTAAGAGTGGCATTAGAACTGTTCAATTCTTTATTTAAATGTGTTTAGCTTTTAGGAGGCCCTGGAAGTGGAGCCAAAGAAACATTAATTTCAGCTTATGTATTGAAAAATAATTAAGATTATTCACTGAGAGGCCTAGAAATGTTTGTTTGACAGCCATCTTGATATTCTGAGATGTGTCCTTGCCTTTCACTGTAATCACAGAGTTGGAAGTCATTTTTCATGTTTTAGTTATTTAACTGGAGTGTATATGCTTTATTATTATTGAACAATCAAAATGCTCTTGTTATAACTTTCTGGAACTTTAATTCATCTTTAAATTTACTTGTCATAAACTCAGCTTTACTTACTCATCAAAATTCAGCTTGCTTCATTGTGTGAAGTATCTGAAGTGGCATTTTCACAGAATCACTTTCAAGTCAGGAGTTTAAACTGTGATGCCTGTCTTCCAGAATTCTCTTACTCTTCTGATGAGCCAGAAGTTGCAGTGCAGTGTTGTTAGAGGTTTGGTTTATTGAATTGCAACATAGACACTAAATAAAGGATGCTGCGTTTGCAAAACTTAGGGGTGAACACTCTCACCGCTGTAATTCTCTTCAAAGTTGTTTTTTCTCATTGAGTTTGTTTATTTTGATGTTTAAGGTTGCAGAGTTACAGATGCTGCTCTCCGATGGTTTTTATAAACAAAGTTTATTCACTTCTTTGGTTTGACTTTTCTTAAGGGATACATGAAGGGTGGGAGATGGGAGCAAGAAGAAAAACTAACTCTTGAGGTATATGTTTGGGGAAACTGCTTAGCTGAAGTGTTATGAGAATCTGACGTGAGTGTTTTTCTCTTCGTTTGCTGTGCCTGTGTGAACAGTGTGACACCATCGCAGCAGGTTCGGGTCTGTCCTCCCCATATGCTACCTGAAGATGGAGCTAATCTTTCCTCTGCTCGTGGCATTTTGTCGCTTATCCAGTCTTCTACCCGTAGGGCTTACCAGCAGATCTTGGATGTGCTGGATGAAAACCGCAGGTGACTGGCCCCAGTGACTCTTGGCAGCTTTATTGCTTATATTTTGGCTCCTGACTAGTGGACTGTGGTGTCTTCCTTTTATGTTTGCACCTTTTGTCTCTTTCTGAGATGCATTGATTTAAAAAACAGCTTGCTTTGCTTTCTTTTAATTTGAAATGATTGTCCAAAATTCACATTTCACAAGATTCTGTTAGCTTCTCTTCCATCAGGAAGAACATTCGTTTACACAGGGAGTGTAATTTTTTTTCAAAAGTTTTGTTGATGTGTTCTAAGTACATGATTCTGTTTTGGAATATACCAAGGAATATTATTGGATTGAGAGTGGGAAAAGGTACTGACACATCCTAATTTTCTTTAGTGAGTCTTGATTAAAGCCATTATGATGGGATTGTATTAGTGTAGCAAATCTAAGAAAATGCTGTCAGTGTAGCTGCCAGGACATTTTTTTTCTTATCTCTTACGGATTTCTCAGCCTAGATTGAGAATCCCAGGAACTGTTGTTTTTGATAGTGTTATGTTTCAGTATTCATACCTTCCTCCTATTTGGGATTTCCAAGTGAACTCACTCCTAATCCACTGAGACCTGTTCATACAAATAACTTTCTTTGCTACTCTTTCAAACACTTTGGATCCTAGCTTCATTATTCATTACTATATTTCAAAAGCTGAAATATATATGGCCCTCCCTGGTGGCACAACAGGTTAAAGCACAGCACTGTGAAGCTAGCCACAGCCACTTCAGTGTGAGTTCGATCCCCAGCCCCAGAGCTGACTCACATGACGCAGCAGACCTCTCCTGTCTCACAGACTGCTCCCCTCAGCAGTGTATTTCATCAGTCTCCCTACTCTGACTGGTAATCTTCTCACCACCCCTGCACCTCTAGCCTGTACCCCAGTTCTATATGAATAAATAAATTTTTCAAAAAGCTGAAATATGTGGAGCTTGACACAACATTGGAAAGGTACAGTCAGCTTCACTTCACTCGAAACGTTTTAGTAAGTGTGGATTGCAATTTGAGTTTCCATAGTCATTTTAATAAACTTAATTTTTGCATTTTAACAAATTCCCCATAAAATGATGTTGGCCCTCCCAGTAAGCTCTGTTCTTACCTTAGGAAGTGCTGTGACCTATGGGCACTCTGCACACTTCCTGCTGAGTGCTGGTGAGCTGTGCACAAGGCCCAGACTGTACACCTGCTTCCTGGCTCTTGTGCAAACTCGCAGGCCCGCTGAGACTCCCAGGCCCCCTCTAGTGCCCTTGTTTCTGGGGCTGAAGACTTAAAGCTGTCCAAGAGAGAGCTCATGGCAGGGGTTAACTTTTTATATAGTCCCCCTAGCCAAGGTTTGAGAATCCCCCAATTCTCTTTAAAGCTGCAAGGACAGTATATATCCAGAGCATGGACTCAGGCGTCAGGCCCATTCTGGATCCAGCCCACTAAGCAGTTAGCTTGTGATGCCTTGGACAATTGGCTAACGTCTCGGCCTCACTGCCCTCATCTATATTATCTGTTTTCCCCAATTCTCGCAAAACACTCCCCCTCCCCCATCCTTATCATATAAGGGTGATAGTTTCCAATTCTTAATGTGGTGTTGGGGTCCTTCAATGGAGTGATCATGAAGCACCTGGCACTCACTCCTAACCCTTAATGTTCCAAAGGCCAGTTTCTCCCCAAAATGGATTTATTCCTCAACAGGTACACTCTAACTTTTAAATTACAGCAGTTCCTTAGACGAAACCAGATTAAGTCAAAGTATATTTTATCAAATGCAGTGAAAGTGTGTCATTTATAAATCCTATATAAATTAAATAATATCCAAGCGATAAAGTCCCAATACATTGAAGTTAACTTGCCCACCTCCCAACACATACATAAAGTGCACAGATATGAAACTTGGAAAAATAATTGGCTTTTCCCCTCACTAATGGAAAAAATTTTGCCTCAGGTTTAAATATATGAAATCAGACATTATTACTGTTGTAAAATTTATATTGTCTTGTTATGAAAAACATTCGTGCCCTTTTTTTTTTAATGTAATGAATTGATAATTCAGAAATGCCTTTTCTAGGAAGGAGTTATTCACTTAGATATGTTTTTTTTAATTCACAAAGTGGCTATGTAGCAGTTCTTTGTTCTGGGTTACACACCAGTAGCTGTTACCTTACAGCATGGTGGGGTTGAAGTTTCATTCTGCTTTCATTATTGAAAGTGCTTTTTTTTTTTTAAATTTTGATTGTATTTAAATATTTTCAACCTAAATGTTGAACAAGATTTAATCAGAATTGAAGTGCCCAGGCTTTGTTTCTACTAAAATAACTGTCTAGCATGGGTTTTCAGACATAAGAACGAGGAATGTGAAATTTGGATAATGTTCTACTTGCATGATTATAAAATAATACTGCTTATAAAGTTTTAAGTGCTTTTATGTTCCTTCCTTTGTACATCATTTTTTCCATTCTATTTTATTACTCTTGGCTGCTGTGCTAATGAAATATCTTTTCTATGTTCTGCCTTCACGGTAGGTTTATTTAAATTAAGCTAGAAAAACGACAAAGAAAAGACTTTTGCCTGCTTCACTGTAGGGAACTGCAGGTTCACAGATGCTTGATGTCAGAACTAGTTTTAGCTTGCGCTTTAAGGGTTTATGTACTATGTTTTCACCTTGTAAGGACACATGAACAAAGCCAGCTTCAACATGAAGACAGTGAAACCCTAGGTGTGCATTAGAAAAGCTTATTTACATACAGGTCAGTGCTGTGCATTTGGAAAACTGAAAGCTCAAAACTTTGCCAAAACACCTGGAACAAGCACGAGGTGTGTCCTGTGGATTTAAATGCTACTGTGAGTTCTCCTTGTCTGGCAGGACACGGCCTGTCTGCTGACATCAGCTGCAGCTCTGTGTCTCTTTCTCCAGTGGCTCGATTTGAAAAAGAAATTGAGTTTCTGTGTAAGAACATGTTTACCTATTGACAAGTTAGTCACACTCAGCATGCTTACGTTTTATTTTTAGAAGGGGCTTAATTATTTTTATGTTTCTTTAGCAATTTGTGCTAGCTTTGAGATGTTAGAATAAGAAACCAGTGTATAATTCAATTTTGTAAGTATCTAAATAGAAGATCTAGACTTGAAAATTATAGTTGGGACAGTGTTCATTTAAAATTTGTCTTATTAAAAATGTGTATCATTCCTTGTCCCCACCCAGAATGTTTGTTTATTATAGCATTAAGTAAGACCACTTAACATATTCAAGAATGTCAATAGACAATTTAAAATTGGAATTTATAGAGCCTTAGATCTCATTCCCTTTTGCCACTTTACTTAAAAACATTGCTAAGCATATTGTCAAGCTTAAGATTTTCATGTATTAAATCATACTTGTATTAGAAAGTGGTACTTGAATGAAGTTTCTGACTGTGCCAAATACCTGTCTAATTTACTTTTATATTATATGTGTCAATTGCCAGTGTGAGAAGACAAAATGAAATACGTTTGGAAAGGTAACTGTATTATTTTCTGGCTCTGCATTAATTACTAAAGGGAAATCTCTGTGGTGGAACATCCTACCTCTGGCAGGCCCATCTGGGCCTACTGGTAGGAGGGCTTTAAGCTGTGGGTAGCCAGAACAGTGGCTCCTTTAGTTGGCCACTCTCATACAGTGTAATGTGAGTTTGTAGCCCAGAAGCAGTTTTTCCAATGCCACAGTAAAGACATTGTTAGGAAGGGGTGTGTTTAAGCCTGTTTCAAGAGTTATGTCAGTTGCCCACAAAATAGAAGTCTGACACGTCTCTCCCTCGCCCCCAAGTCTCTGAGTCTCTTAGCCTGTATGCTCCAGCTATTTTTTAAGCACCAGTAGTGCTTTAGGAAATGTGCAGATTCCTCTTTGATGGAAAATAGTCATTTGTATTGTAGCCAAAATTACACAGTTGTTCCATCTTACAGGAAAAAAATCAGTACTTTTGCTATTGAATGTTTGTGTGATCAAAAATTGTCTTGATATTTACATAGAAGCAAAACCTGATCAGTACTTAGGGAATGTGACATTGTAACACTTAACAGCCCATCTGGATCCTCTCTGGTTACTTAGCAAGGCTGGTTATTTCTGGGGGAGCTGACCCGTGAGCATGGGGAGCTCGTTTTCTGATTTAAAAACTTAAAATTCATCAGCAAGGTTACTCTTTTGGATGTGGAGAGCTAATTGTCCTCCAGAACTAGAGTCTACACAGAGACTGAGTGAAGATCCCCACAAAGTTTTCCAGCACACTTGGCCTTCATTTCCAACAGCCCTGTGCATGACTCTTGGCTGCCTCTCCAGAGCAGACTCCGCCTTCATCTGCGTCCCTCCGAGCAGGTGCCGGACCTCTCTGCCCCGCGCTGAGGATGGTCCTTCTGCTCTTGGGGGCAGGGAGGACGCATAGCTACATTAAGATTCAAGCCCTCATCACATTTGATGAGGTGGGAGGGAAGGAATCTAAGGCAGCGGGGGTCGAACCTTCAAATTGGCATTCTTGAGAGCTGCTGACAGCAGACGTGCAGCCACGATCATGCAGGTGCCACTAACTGGTTCTTCGGGTGCTTTTAAAGTTGCGGGTGACTTTTATTCCAACTTGAAGAAATTACGCTTTTTAAATAGTTGTTCTCAGAATTGAAGTTCATAAATTAAAATATAAGCACCAATGAAGTTACTGTATCAGTTGGTGCTCCTTTGCTACTTATAGATTCCCGTTGCTTTTTAACCCATTATAAAATACTGAATTTGTGAAAATGATAAATGGAGGAAGTGTGAGACAAAGATTTTAAAATATTAAAAGATATTATATTGTATTAAGACATACAATATAATCCTATTTGACATTTGTCTTGTTTTTGCTTTTGTTTTTATTACTTCTCTGTTTCCTGACTCTGTCTTGTGCCTTCTCCCGCAAAACCGTGCCTTAGACCTGTGTTGCGGGGTGGGTCTGCCGCCGCCACTTCTAATCCTCATCATGACAACGTCAGGTAAATTTTGAGACTTTTGTAACGACCAGGCTGTGTAGCTGAGCTGACCGTGACCCACGTCGGTAGAGCCCTGCCTCGGGGTAGTTGGCCTGCGCTGCTGCCTCCTGGCCGCTCCAGGCAGAGCAGTGGGTTGGAGCTGCCTGAGCTGGCCCACAGGGGTGAGGGAGGCGCCCAAGCGTCAGGACTTGCAGTCGTGGCCATGGAGAGGCGCACAGTGGTTTATGGGAGATTCTGGGGAAACCCAGAAAAGAGCTTGAGTCTGTTCTGTGTGCCTCCTTGTAATTGTTGCCTCAGGTTCTGTCCAGCTTCCCTTTTTAGTTGTTAATTGTCTAGATGCCACGTTCATTGTGTAGCCACCTCTTTCTGCAAAACATCGTCTTAAATTTGAGAATCAACATTGCCAGTCCAGGAAGAACAGAAAGGGGATTTTCATCTTCTGTGACTGAAGCCCCCCCACCCCATCTGCCCCTTCTCACACTGTCACAGGCCCAGCCTGAGTAGCCATTTCCTCCTGTCCTGCAGAAGGACGTGTGCGGTCCCATGTGCCAGTATCCCCATCTCCCATTTCTGAGGGAAAAATTCTTGTTTGAGACACAGACACTGCCGCTTTAATTTTTTCAGAATCAATTTTATTTTAAGCACAATGCACTATCTGTAGCAGTAGATTTAAAGCTGGCGGCACTGTTTTGTGATGAGAGGAAGCCAGCACACTCGTTTTCAGGCTGGAGGGGAGGAGAACATCGGCTCGTCAGGGATCCCAGCCCAGTTGGGAGACGCAAACGTGCGCCCTTGCCGGCCCTCAGGATCCCTTCCTGACGTGCGTTGATTGAGTGCATTGTAAGTCTCCCCCTTGGCTGTCTCATGACTTGTGGCCCCTTTGCCTTCCCGTGAAAGTATTTCAGCCAGTGGCCCAGCTTAGCGATTTTTACAGTTTTAGTTCATATTTTAATTTAACACACATGGTAATGTGTTGTTCTGCTTTCATTGAAGTCCACAGGTACAGTCTTTTCCCCCAGCCCTAGACTGCGTTCACCTACACTTTTGTTATATTTAGTTGTATCCCTTCAATTTTGAAGCTTTTTTTCCCCCAAATTATTACTCGGATGTGATTTTAGGAATAGAGAAGTTTTATTCTGAGGAGAAAATGTAAAGAGGAATCTTCAATCTTATTTTCCCCACTAATCACTAGATAATTCCTTAACGTTCAAGAGGTTTTCTCAGGAGTTGTGTGCCCATAGTTCTAGCATATGCCGACTTAGAACCCTTCCTAACTAATGCTGTATTTGAGAATATTTCATCTCTTCCCATGAAGAAAAGGGGCAGTTCAGTAAGGAAGCAAGTTAATTTAACATGTAGGAGAAACATTTAGAGTTTATTCTAGATTACCTAGCGGGAGTGCATGCCACCTGTGTGGCTATCAGATCAGAATCTCGACACTGGCTGGAGGACCCTGCATGGCCATGAGATAAACAGTATGTTCACGGACTTGACTAAAGTATTTTTGGATTCTTTCCAACAGCATTTGAAAGGACTTTTGACGTCTGGGCCGACCTGTTAGGTGCCCCCTATGTGAGGATGTACTTTTTGTAGGGGACTTGCCAGAAGTACTCCCATGTATGACCCGTGTGCCAACGTCAGGGCGACAGCCGAGTAATTCATGCCATTTTACTGAGATAACCCTGTAGGATTAAAACACGGGGAGATGTGTGTGGTGAGCTGGATAACATGTAGATTGTATCTCAAGGAAACAAAATAAATTTAAAAGTGGAAAGAGGAAGAATATCTTTCCTTTGTACTTGTATCACAAAACTTTTTGTCCTGCCTTTGAAAATCAGTGTCCCTTTGGGTACCTTCATTTGAAAAAGAGATGCTTTTTAGTTAATGCTCCTCTAGAGCTGTTCTTAGTGGCACTCCAGCAGCTTAAAAATCGCCTCTTTGTCACTGGGAAGCCCATCCTGGCTGAGCAAGGTGTGCCCAGGTGTTTCTGGGGGCCCAGCAAAGAGTCATCGGGGCGGAAAGGCAGCGGCAGTGAGGGGAAGACAAGTAGAGCCGCCTTAGCGTCAGCTGCGCAGCCCTGCGCCGCCTGGCGGTGGGTCTCGGCAGGAGCCCCTCAGGCACACAGGGCTGCCTGCCGTTTGTCCACCTGAGCGCACCGTGGCTCCCTGCGCAGCTCCGCAGCCGCAGCCGGGCTGTGCAGGGCCGCGCTGGTCTGGGCTGGGAGTGTCTTTACAGCTGTGAGGTGTCTTCTTTCTCAGAGCTTCCTGACACTCCCAGCATGGCAGGTAGTTGTCACCAAGTTCTCGCCTCCCTTTCTCCTTAGTAGTAGCAATTCAGAAAGCAAGACATTTTAGCAATTGCTCTTATGAATTGCAGCCTTTGGAACAATTCTTTGAGCATGTCATAATACACTGTATGGCTTACCAGGTACTCCTGCTTCTATCCGATATTAATGATATTTTTATTTCTTACTGCTAGGTATGGCATTTCAAATATAGATGCAACAATTGAAACAACTTCAGATGACATGACTGTTGTAGACGCAGCTTCCTTAAGACGACAGGTATTGCATGTGCCACAGAAGATAGAATCCTTCATTGTTTTTGTGGATTTGGTAGTTCCTCACTTTTTGTCATTTTCTCTGCATGGAACCTATGAGTTAAAATATTCTTTCAAACAGTTTACTAAGCCAATACTAATTTTCCCATTTTGATCAGATGTGTTTAAACTATCATTTACATGTTTTACTTGTGTTAACGGTGCATACAGTTTCGCCAAAATGGACTGGTGGCGACCTGCACGCTGCCTTTTGTCAGTAGATTTACTTTTCCAGTTTGGCGGTTTCCATCCTTGAAATACTGAGTTCAGCATTATGGAAGTCTCCTGCCTGCAGCTTCCCTAGTGTAATGAGAGTAATGCTTTGTGGGCTCGTGGCGGTTCAACAGACTGCTGCAGGGCGGATTCCTTGGAAGGCAGATTCTGGGAAGGAGGTTTGGGTGTAGAAGGGTTAGCAGGGACTGCTGTCGGGGACATTCTGGGTGGCATTATGGTGAAAACAAAGGCTGCGGTTGGCAACCCATGACAGATTGTGGAACTAGGGGGAGCTTTCAGAGTTGGAGCAAAGGGCATTTAACCCCGTCACTAGCCAGCCGTTGGGGATCTGTTTCCTCCATAAGGAAATGAGGAGTGGGTGCTACTCTCCTTCAGCCCCAGTCTGGCCCCAGCGAGAACCCATAGCCAGGGCAGGTCTGCCACAGTGACACTCCTCTCAGCTGGAGATTTAGTCTTTCCTCCAGGGGGCTACGAGGAAGCTCACAGGTGGCTTTTTGTCATCCTCTCAGTAACGCGACTGGTAGGAGGAGGAGGCATTAAAGCAGGTGTAAGACAAACACTGAGACTGAGGAACAGAAGCTCCTAGAAGGGGCTAGGAAAAGTGAGGGCATCCTCACTCTCTCTGGTGTGGTGCGCCTGTCACAACCTGTGCTCAGCCTTTCTGCCAGAACAGCATCTGCAGCAGCCCCCTCACCTCATTGTCTGGGCAGAGGAAGAGGGAAAGCTCCCCTACCCCCCCCCCCACGCGCCCCCGTTGCTAACGCAGACACGTGGAGGAGAGCGCGTTTGCCTGACTAATGTTTTTCTGTATGTGGTTTTGTTTATTTTGCACCAGTGAAACTTTATGTTTATAATGATGCTGTTGACAAATTGTACTGCCTTATAAGAATCTGACTACTCCATGAGGAGAAGTTTCTATTTTTATGTTTTTGCTTTTCCCTTAGATAATCAAACTAAATAGACGTCTACAACTTCTAGAAGAGGAGAACAAAGAACGTGCTAAAAGAGAAATGGTCATGTATTCAATTACTGTAGCATTCTGGCTGCTTAATAGCTGGCTCTGGTTTCGCCGCTAGAGGTAACCTCGGCTCTCAAAACATTGTCTCAACAGCTGGAAATATAAAGAATTTGCAAACTTCTTCGTTTCTGTCTTTGCGTTGTATGCCGTTTTATAGTCCATGCCCTGAAAGTGTATTTCTTCCAGAAAGGCGGGGGAAGGACATACATTACAGACGTGAGGTATGTTCTGCCCCCTCAGCTGTGCTCACCTTTAACCCGTCCTGCCGTGACACCTACTTAAAACTTTGCATGTTTTGTAAATAGACTCTACTTTTTTTTATTTTAAGAAATTAATTTTTTTGCCTCATCATTCTGCACAACTTGCTCTCTGAGTGGAAGAGAAAGTGCATAGAGGATTGATTTAGAAAAATATCTGTGAAAGAAAAATAATAGTTCATTTGGCCCTATTCCTCAAACACTATTAAGCAGCTTTGTTAATAGACGTTTTTTTGCCTCCACAATCAACATGAATACTTCTGAAGTGTGGTCTGGTGTCAGATTTCTTCAAAGCACTTCATTTCAGAAATCACCTCCATTCAAATAATTCCTGACATTTTCAGCAGTTGATCTAATATGTGTGTAAAATGTGCATTGTTTTTATTTTAGTTTTGCAGATGGTTTTCTATAAAGTACGTTTTTACTAAGTCCATGTGTGAATGATTTAAAAACTACAGATGAAGGTATAAGTGTAGTGCATTCAATAAACTGTCAACCAAAGCAATGTTTGTCTACTGAAAGATTTTATTTCATCATACTCTGCTGTGAGCTACGTTCTACAGCCCTTTGCTCTCCGGGGGCCTGAGCTCTCCGCCTCAGAAATCGCAGTACCGCCGTTAACGTCTTCGCGCCAGCGTGGACCTGCTCGGCCCGCAAAGGCCGTCGGCCCGGCGCTGGTCGGTGCTGGTTGTGTTTAGTGGTCTCTGATTTCGTTGTAGATGTAAAGTGATTCCGATGAATATACCTTGAGTTGTGTTGGCGTTTTCCTCTGTTAGATTTAGCTAATGCACTAAATCGTGTGAGAATTAAATACATCCGTGAAACTGAGTCCTGGCAGCTTTTACTTCTCAAAGCTTCCCTCCCATTTTTTTTTCTTTTTGGTTCAGAAATAGTGCAGTGTTGAGAAAGATAGTTGAGGATTTTCCTCAAATATAGGTAGATTTCTTTGCTTCTGTTCTTGCTGCTGCTTCCCCGTCCTTCAAAAAAAACCCCAGAAAACTAGGAGGAAGAATTCTTCACTGTACTTCCTAGAGTTTATTATGAGTGTGGTAAATCCATGAAAGCCTTCTGACTTTTATAATATACTAATGATGTGGTTATATTATTCTAGCTCTATATAAACACAAAGTATTTCTGTGAGCTTCTAAATTGAAAACAAAAAATTAATAAAAATGATGGATAAAATTTGCAGTTCTTTTGCTGCTCAGACATAATAGGATTCCTTGAAGGCCAAAACGGAACTAAAAGGAATTCCAGGAGGTCAGCAAACACAAAGCTGTCTTTCCCCTTTGATTTCTGCCAGACACCGGAAACCTGGAACTTCTTTAGTGACTGTGCAGGGCAGGAGCTACAACCCCATGTGCTGGGCACCCAGGCCCCAGAGCAACCCACTCTCCTTCCAGAAGGGGGAGAAACAGACATGCCTGTGTTCACCTCTCACAGGTTGCAAACAGTGCTTAGATCTTGTAGCCCGAAGTCACGTGCCTAAGGCCAACTCCTTCCCCTAGAAGTTGCTATTCGTTGTGAGAAAATGGCTCAGGACTTGAGAGATTGGCTCCTGGTCAGGATAGGCAGAAAATACTTTGTAGTGAGTTATGTGAGTTGAACCTTGAAGTACGTGCAGGCATCCAGTAAGCAGAGAATGGAGAGAAGCTTGCTGGAGTAGGGAGCACAGGGCGAAAGGTTAGGCCAGGGCAGTCATCAGCTTCGCGTTGGGCCAGGCAACGGAGCACAGCAAGTATGTTGTGATGCCACTTGCAAGACTCTTGGGTTTCTTCCCTCCTTTAGGAATATCCTGGAAGCTTTGCCAACTATTTGTCCTTTGGGGGATGTCTATGAAAGTAGTATGTCTTAAAGAGCGGTGCCCTTTTTGCATGTGTGTCTGTGTTGCAGCTGCTCAGTTAGTTACATCCGACGTTGTAATTGAACTGTGATTCTGGGCCTCGCACTCAGGAAGACTGACTTTTCCAGAAACGTTCTTTTACTTACAATCTATTGTCCTGGCAGTAAGCGACTCATGCACCAAGAGATCACCGCAGGTACCCCATGAGCCCTGCCCTAGGGCATTGATGATTAATGGAGAAGAAGAATAGGTTCATTAATGAAGTAGAAGATTATAAAAAACAATTTGAGGTAAAGGAGTTGGAGATACGTGGTGAAGTATAAGGAGAAGTATTTCAGGTAATGAAAATTACACAGATTCCAAACAGAGATGAAAGGGGAAGGGATAAAAAGGGGGAAAATAATAAGTTTTGTAAATGCCTAGGTGTGTATTGTGTGTGTGCAGACGTTGCACTTGTGAGGTTGGTGCCAGACTAGGCGTGGTGTGCCCCAGATGCCCAATCACTGTGGCCCACAGACACGAGGCATTTAACCCTTTACAGCAGTTCTCACGGGGCCGATTGGTGGCCTGGAGATAACTTAAGCCAGTGCCAAACCCATCCCCGAGTCGCTCATCGCTTCCTGACCCTCTGTGAGCTGGGTCCCCTCTCACCCATTTCCTAAGCTGGGAGAAAACTGGGTGCCACCACTGACCATGTGCTGTTTAGTCAGGCGCAGTGAGCTGTCATGTGTCTTCCTTGCAGATAATTGTATGAGTACAGCAATTTTATATTCATTTAAAAAGCATTGAGTCTTCCATAAAAGCCAAGCACTAAAGACAGTCCATAGCGCTCATTCATTTAACGAAATGCTGATAATGGCCGGGCTTTGTACCCGGCGCTGTACTAGGTCCAGAGGGCACGAGGAGTGAGTAGAAGAAATGCACCTCTACACTGTGGTATTTCAGACTTATGGGCAATAGTGAGCTTCAAGAAATAAACACCAAAGTCCTGTTGCTGTTGCGATATGCTGTAATGAGGAAAGACAACTGAAGGAGAGGAACCACTGTTCATGGCGCGGTTCTCAGACAAAGTGAGGTGGGTGCTGAAGTCAGGAGGAAGGAGAGTGTTTACCCGGGAGTTAAGTGGAGGGGTGAGGGCCAGGCAGAGGACAGGATGCTCAGACCGAGGCCCAAAAGAGCTGTTGGCCGTGGGCCTGCCTCATCCGTCCTTCCGTGGTAGACATGCCGTGTGGTGAGCTGCAGTGACTGGCTTGCATGCCAGCTGCGCTCACCAGAATCGTGCACTCTGGGGACGTCCTCGAGAAGAAGACTTAAACTGGACCTTAAGGGTAAACAGTATTTATAAGGGTGTGGGAAGGCTTTATATGTAGTGAATGGGTTCAGGAGAAGAGGCTTGCAACGTCTTTATTTGGGCAGCTATACCATAGGTATTACAATTTATAGAACCTTGAAACCAGTGAACAAAAAAAAAAATTAACATGCAGGAATAACTTTCAGGAAATTATTCTTTGTGTAACATTTTAATGTGTCAAATACACCATTAACCTGTTTTTACAAGATTGGCATATAGAGAAACCAGATTTGAAGGGTTAATTTTTTCTTCTAGGTAATTTTTTCATTGTGAAAAATGCAGGTGTAGATACTATGAATCTCCATCTACGTATCACTTAAATATAACATCTTCTATTCTTTGTTTGGCTAAAGTTTTTTCAATACATGACATTTTCTCCCCACGCACGCAAATAACACATTTCTAAAATATCAGGACATTTTCCTATATAAAGGTAATACCACTATCAGACCTAGACTAATATTAACAATAATTCTTAATATCATGGAAGCCAGTTCTTGTACTGTTTCCCACTTATCCCCAACAAGCTCCACATACGCATGTCGTTGAATCAGCTGTTTGTTCCCTTCATCCAGAAGGGTCCCCTCAACCCATCCCACACTTAATTTGTCCTGTGTCATTTTCTTATTGAGTACAGGGGGCTATTGTCTGTTTACTCTCCCACCTTTTGGATTTGTCTGCTCTTTCCCTGAATTTCCTGTAAGATGATTACATTCCACTTACTATCAATATATTAAGTATAAAGACAACAAAAAGTTTCCCTACTTTCCTTCCAGGGTGACTTTTACTTCATGTCCTCTCTCACCCTCTCTTCCAGTTCCTCTCTCATTTCCTTTCCTCTTTCCAGACAAGAATATAGAGTTAGAAAACTCAGATTGTACAGAATTCTAGAAAGATAAGAAACAAATTGAAAGCTGCTCTCCATTTCTCCCCAAAGTTGCCATATGAAAGTGTGATGCCTTTGCCAACTGGCTTTATATGTGAGTAGAATGTTTTTCTTTTTCAAATCCCTTCAAGGTAACCTTAAAAACAGCTCTTTAGACTAAAATGATTCATAAAGCTTTCTAGATAATGTTCCACTATTGAACTTCTAATTCTAAAAGCATGTCTTACATGTAATCTATAATGATTCCAGCTGGCATGTAACTACACATACCGTTCTCTTCGCCTAGAGACCCCACACAGACAGCCTAGGAAGCCGATGGCTATCTGACTGAGCCCAAACAGGAGCTCCAGGATGCCCACAAGCAGGAGACCTAAAAACACGGAGAGATGGATGACCCGCTCTTGTTTTTCTTCAGAATCGAAGTCCCACTTGTCCTTATCCCAGAGACCGCCTGTGATGTTGGTGTGGTTATTGGGACCAATGGGAGATGTGCACGATCCTCTTAAGAACCACTCTAAACTGAAGGATTCTGGGTCAAACTCACTGGAAAATCAAAGAAAAGGTAGAATTAGATGTAGAGGGAGACCACCAGCCATTACAAAAAGAGAAATAGCAGTGCTGTGCCCAGATTGGCAGGTGCAATAAGCACCCCAGGAGGCTCGTCCCAGCAGTGAGGCTGTAAGAGCGGCGTCTGGACCGCCACCTCACGCTAAGACACCTGGCTGGCCCAGCATTTAACAGACACCTAGTGTCCACTCAGTTGGAACCGCATGAAATTGTTTCGTCTCTTTCATAACTGGCCTGATGTCAACAGTTTCTGTGCTTGAAGCCATTTTTTCCCAGCACTCTTCAAGCTAAACTATGAAGATGAAAAAGCTCCGTCTTTCAAGGAACTCTGTTCTTTACACAAACTTCAGCATTGTTGTCTCTGCAACCAGATATATAACTTCTGCTCACAAAATACATGAATATGTTTGGTTAAGGGATTTTAGGCCTGTTGTAGTGAAACATGGAAATTGAGACACTTTGGACCATAGCACATCAACTCTGAGGTAATTGTTATAGAGAAAAAGTATTTAAAGGGTTTGTATTTCTGGTTAACAACAGCTCATGTTCAATTTTAGAAAACACTAGTATTTTTAGCGCATGGGAGATGAGTCTGCTTTTTGAAGTTTGCAGCGAGCATGGGCTCACGCCCTCTAATTCTGCTCTCTGTGACTCTCCCCAGCAAGAGTGGCAGCACCTGGACTATTGTGTCTCCAGGCCAGCCGGTGTGTGCTAACATGGCACGCAGGCTTCAGCAGGTGGCTGGCTGTGCCTGGTGTCTGCGGCTGCAATCGCTGATCTTACACTTCGTGGCTATTAGTAAAGGGAATTGCTTTTGGACTTTGATTTAGACAGGTGGCATGCACCTGTCAATGTTCTTTTTAATGTAGGCAGGGAAGGGACAAGGAGAAATATGATATAAAAGTGAATTCTTGCTATTTTTCAAACGGAGCTACAACTGTATAACTACTGGATTAGATTGGCTTATTCTCGCACTTCTATAAGTTGTGCCTAGAACCACAATATGAGACCATATAACTCTTCGGTATTAGTTATTACATGACAAACTTGATCTGTTCCCGTGCCTACATGTACTATAGTCTGCCTGCCTGAACCTGTTGGCTGCTTAGTTTCTTTTCTGGCTTATAGACCACACTTTTGATGTTGTTAATTGAGTTAATTCAGTTTCTAACATTACAAGGTGGTACATGCTCAGGCTTACTCATTACTTAGTTCTATAGGATAGAAAGCTAACGTGGGCCCTCCCTCGTGGTGCAGTGGGTTAAAGCGCAGCACTAAGAAGCCAGCCACAGCCACTTCCACACCAGTTTGATCCCCGGCCCAGGGGCTGAGCCACATGGCGCAGCAGACCTCTCCTGTCTCCCTGCTGCTCCCCTCGGCCGAGTACTTAATCAGTTGGGCCATCCTGCTCCCCACTCTGTCTCTGGTGGATCCTCTCACCACCCCTGCACCTCTGGCCTGTACCCCAGTTCTGTATGCACAAATAACTTTAAAAGAAAGAACAAAAGTTAAAGCTCCCCCTCTGTCCCACAGAACATCCTTTAAGGATGGAAGTTAGGTTTCTGGTATATAGTTCCAGAAAAATTTTAGACACATATGCAACCACCGATTTTGAAAAGACAAGGCTGCATCATCTGAATCCATTCCCCTAGACAAGCCCGTACCCCAAAGCACTGGACCCACACAGCAGTGATGCCTCCACCTCCCTGCCTTGGCTTTTGTGATTAATGTTTTGAACGTATCTGCTGAGAATCTGCCCGGGTAGTTTCATCAGAGGTAAACACGATACTATTGTCATCTAGCCAGCTGTAGTTGCCTAAGATAGAGAGGTGCTGAAAATTACTCACTTTAATTTTTTGAATGAAAATTCGCAACTGGTAGTCCTGTTGACTTGAGAGTTACAAATGAGAGGGCCTTCTGAGAGCGCACAGAGAGAAACCCACATGCAGTACACCGCACCGAGGATGGTGACCACGTTCAAAATTGATGAAAGAAACATCTGAAAAATAAAAGTGGCCATGTGCACTTGTCACTGCCGTCCTGGCTGTTTCTCAAGCTTCAGCTGTCTGTGCCGCTGCGTCTGCACCCTTGGAGTCCTGGATCCACCGATCCCGGGTGGACTAGTTGTGAATTAGCAAGCAAGGTAGAGCACAAAGCCCCTGCCGCCTGCGGCCCCCCACTGGTCTGGGGCTTGCCGCTAGCTCTGTCAACTGGACCACTACCCTGAGCGCTGCCCACTGCGACTCCCCTGAGATCTGCTTCCTCCCGCCCTCTGTGAACTTCTTGCAGAAGCTTGAAGAGGTCTGAGCCCCCCACATGTTCACGTCTGGTGTCTTGACTTCCAGATGGACAAGCTCCTGCTGGTCAGTCTGCTGACGTTGGGTGCTTTGTTCTTGGGTCCCTCCTGAACATGGCGGGGTCCCTGCCCACTGGATGCCAGGATCAGAGCTCCCCCAGTTGTGACAACCAAAAATGTCTCGGGGGATTGCAAAATGACCCCCAAACAAGGCAAGCAGTCCCTGTAGAGAACTGCTCCTGTTCTCTAGGATTTAAGCTCATGAGTCAGTGGCAGAAGCACAGCGAGGGTGGAACTTGTAACAGGAAACATTCGGGCCCAAGTGTTTCCCAAAAAGAAGCTCTGTGCCGCTTTAGTGGTAACTAAATCGCTTTTAAATCTGCAGGGATAAAGTGGAGAAACACTTTTCCTGTGCTGTGGGTGGGGTAATAGGGTGGATCTTGGGGGGGTTTGAGTTCTTCAGCTCTGCCTCCCCCCAGTGGGCAGGGTAACTGGCTGCCTACCGTGTGTTTGAGGGGCACTGCCTGGATGTAGAATCTCATTTAATCCTCTAGGGGACCCCAAGAGGGAGGTGCTGTTGTCAGTCCCACTTACGAATGAGCAAACTGCAGTTCAGGAAGGTTGACAAGCTAGGATTTTAGCTGGAAAGGCTGCCGCCCAGGCGCCCATCAGCATGACAGCATTTTCCAGCTGGCAGCCCAGGGTGACAACCCCGGAGCCCTGACGGCAGCCCAGGGTGATGGCCCAGGGTCTTATTGTGGCCCAGGGTGACAGCCCCCCGGGGGTCTGACTGTTTCTGGTCCCAGGTGCCTATGGCCTGGGCAGGCTGCTTCATTCTGCTCACCAAGAAGCTCCACCCTGTTTAAGCTTTGGTCATGTGATTTCTCACTTCTCACACACGAAAGGCCCTGGCTTTGGGAGTGACTCTGGGGATGTGAATCCCTTTTGGAGGAGGAGCCAACCCAAAGGGTTCAGGAACTATCGAGATCTGGGCACAGCAAAGAGCAAGGAACAGTGGAAGTTGTGGTGCAGTTAAAATGCAGGCCAGTCTGGGTGGCTCCTTTCCTGCTCTCCAAGCCTAACCTTTGTCACTTTCTTGGGCTCATCTAGACTTAAGATAGACTGACTCAAAAGCTGCTCAGAAGCCACCGCCAAGTGAGGTCACTGCAGTTAATCAGTGTGGCCTGTGGCTTCTTCCTTGTGCATGAGCGGGATTACCCAGCACCCCCTTCCCCTGGAACTCCAGGAACCTACACTCCCTGCACCGGACCACCGGGAGTGTTGCTGAAGCTTGAATTCCAATTTCTAAGACTGGTGTAGGGGAGCAAAACCCACAGGCTGCTTGTAAAGTTGGCATCGTCGTTTACTCGGGGGGAGAGAGTGGACATTATCTGTCTTCAGAAAGATGCTGTATTTATATGAAAAGACATGCAGGGAAAAAAAAATCTTAGTAGAAGTACAGCTTGAGAAAAAAATCTTGCATTTTTGATATTTTTGAATTTGGGAACTCGGAACCCTCTCTGCTATCTTTCTCAAGAATGTTGCAGGTATAAATTAGACATAACACCATGTCAGGCTCGATTATATAAAGAAAGGTGACAGGGAAGGAAAGCTGGGTACTATTTATTGAATACCTGTGGTGTATCAAGAACGAAAAGTAAGAATTAGCTTGGTCATTACAATCCTAGATGCAGATCACTGTCAGGAAAATATTTTGGAAGTATAAACCTGTTCCTTTCGCAAGGTTGTTTCTCACCCCGTGTGGCACATAGCGTGCCTAGAAAAATGGAAATGCAGCATCTGGAGAGGCCATCAGACACCGATGGCTTTCGGAGCTTCCCCGGGGAGCTAATGGCCCCACTGGGCTAGAGAGCTCTGTGTGTCCTTAGGAGCAATGTTCACAGCGCTGGGCCCCCGGCTGTGACTGCAGCCGAGGACTCGGAGAACAGTAACACGGGCTGTGGGGCCCCACAAGATGACCCCGCTCTCTGAGGACTGGTGCTCGGTCCGTAAAACAGATCACAGTATTTCTCACGCAAGGGCTTTGAGAGAATTAAATAAGAGCATATTTAAAAATTCCAAGCAAAGTGACAGAAGACTAATAAATATTGGGTTTCTTTTAGTTCCAAGTTTCTATATGGTAGGTGTATGCCAGGCGTCTGGAAAAGAACTGGTGTCTCCCTGAGTTAACAAGGAACATTCAGATGCTGTGCAGTTCATCTTTCATATGCACAAGAGAACTGAGGGCACCCTAAGGTTTTAACACCCCCAACCGGGCAAGTATCAGACTGCTTGGAAGCTGCTTGCAGACCTGATCGTGACATAGCAAATCCACCCAAATATGGGGAGGAGGGGTGGCGGGGAATGACCATGAGGTGTTGTGAAGGCTGGCCCGCAAGCTGCATTTTCATTGGCCAAAGAAAGTCTCTCTCTGTCCATTTCATCATAGAGTCGCTGTAAACCGCAGTCTCTGAGACAATCCTCCCCAGTTCCCCCAGAGCCACTGTGACTTGGGGGCAGAGGTGAACCTGGGCTTTGCTCCTGTGTCAGGACCTTCTGCTCCGCCCCACCCCCACAGCCCATACTCACCCCAACTCTGTTATTGCAGCAACCTCTTTTTCTTGCTGCCAAGGACATCGTGGTGGCAGGAATGGCCTGAAAATGACATCCACAGCAAAGATGGTGGTTATTCCTTCTCAGCACATGGAAAGGCAGTCACGCATTAGAGCAGCGCCCGCCTGTGTTGTGAACTCGGGGCTCCAGAGAACACAGGGAAATCTGGCCCTGCCAGATCTGACTCAAGGTGCGTCTCAGAGACGTGATCCCCACCACCACTGACAAGCGGTTCTCCAGGGGGCTGGAAAGGGACTTCGGAAGAGCAGATCTAGAGTCTTCCATGCACACGCTTACTTTACTCTGGGTCATCGTTAAAGAAACTTTGACTAATAGTGACTGTCTCCTTATTTTGGAAGAATTGTTTCTAACAGAATTGTCTGCATCGTTCAAAGTTCACTTTCCTTCCTTTTGTTTTGGGGGGGTCAGAAGGGTGGTATCATCTACAGTGACTTAGACAATTTCCCCCAAATTCTGTGAGTTAATCTGACAGGCATCCAGAAAAGAAATGAATGGCCGTGTTTCCCTGACAGTTGCAAATGACGAGTTTTCCCACCACTATTGCCCTCTCCTCTGTGACCCTAAGTTTCTCGGGGTCACTGCCAGCTCCCTGACTCCCCACACCGATGGCCTGAGCATTTTGGCTCCAACTTGCCCCTTTCTGCTCCTGCACCCTGAGTCCGGAAGGCCGTGGGATTCACCTCTGTGCCCCACACCCTGAGGACTCAGGCATCGCCCTTCCACAAGATCCAGCAGCAGCTGTGCCTGGCAGTTCTCCCTGAAAGAAGTTTGTGTCACTGAAGAGTGACTATCAAATACTTCCTTCCACTTAAGAAATTCTGGTCATGAGTTTCTTCTGCCATCTTGGCATCTCTGCCCTCGAGTTCTTTCTTCCCTCCTGCTCTTGCTGACTAACCTCTTACTGAGTCTAACTCCATGGCAGGCACTGATGGATTTTCAGTTTGTGTTTTAGCTCATTCCAGTTTTATAACTGTTCCCCAGGGTAGCTGCTATATTTAATCCAAGTATTATCAACGAAAAAACAGGCAAAGATTGAGTAACTCGAAAAGAATGTGGAAAAGTTGGAGCTCAGACCTCGGCATTGGGGGCAGCAAGACTGACTCTTAGCCGTGACTCCTGGAATTCACGTCTGTCCCTGCAAGGTAGATTCATCCTCCCCACCCCCACCCTGGCACCTCTGACTGGCCTTCCAAGCTCTTCCCCGGCCCTTCCCTCCAAGACCATGTCCACCTGTGTTCTTCCAGAACAGGTCCGAGGCTTATGTCTTTAAAAGCAGTGTTGCTGATGAACTCCCCCTGCCCTGACTCCCTGTTACTCATCCTGATACCAAGCTGTGTTTACATGTTTCCCCCAACACCAGCACCCTCAGCACAGGGGTGCCAGCACAGCCCATCTGCTCCAGCACAGCCCTCTGGAGCCATGTAGCCCGAGATGGAAAAGGGAAGACAACCAGTCCTTTGTCAAGTTCAAGGACAAAGCTTCTTTTCTTGAGCCAATAATTTGTACTGTCTTCTGAGTTTAAAGAACAAGTGATTCAAAGCAAGAAGTGGTAAAGTATGGCCCACCACTCTTTTTTATAAGTAAAGTTTTATTAGAACATTTGTCTATTTGCTTACATGTGTCTATAGATGCTTTTGCACACAAGTGGTAGAAATGACTAGTTCTGAGAGAGACAATCTCATCAAATAAAATAGTCACTATCTAGCTCTTTATAGGAAAACAATTTGCCAACGCCTGATTTCAAAAATTAATGAACTTGCTAAAAGAGAGAATAATATTTATGTTGCAACTTAAACAGATAAATCATTCTATTTTTCTCTTAATATAAATTCATCTGCTAATTTTCTTGAAATTAACTCACTTCGGCTATGCTGAATCTTTAATTTCATAGTTCCCTTCCCTTGCAAAGGGGTTTCATGAAGTTTAGTGTGTGAATATCCCCACCCAACTGACGTCACGGCACGTTGACACAGCTTTGTGGTGTTGTTCTGGGTAACTTGATGACTCACTATGCTGCAGTCATTTTGCTTATTCAGAGATTTGAGGCTTGAAGTGACTTCATATAGAATGAATGTTAAGAGTGAATGTTCATATATATGACTGAATTATAATTCTTCCAGATATTTTATGCAAATAAATGTAAGAATGCTTTTTCTTTGATTCCTCAGCATCTTTGAATGCATATGTTTTGCAAAATTGAGTCTTGATAATCTTTTGCTTTTTATTAAAAAAAGAAATAGTATAGTTCATTTTCCTTACCAAAAAAAAATTTCCATCTAATTTTAGTAGAAGGCATATGATTTCACAAACAAAGTTCAAAGAGCTGTTGGCCATTAAACCTCTGTGATAGAATTCAAACCTTGATGGTTCCTCTAAGTACTTGAGCATGAATAACACACACAAAAAACACACAGCTCATCATCAATATACAAACTTCAATTTCAAAATTCTTATGCACAATGTTTTTAATTTGCTTAGCATTCAATAATTTGTTCTCTGTTAAGATTTTCATAATTGATGAGTTGTCATTACATAACAAGTGACTTCACTGAACAAGCATGAGTAAGATCAGACTTACAATGAAACTCATTTAAGATAAAAATCACCTTTATCTTTTTAGAAGGAAAAGTTCACGTCTTTATTTAGTACTCGGAAAAATAATCTGGATTGATTTTTCCCTTTAGAAGATAATAATTGAAGATAATTAATTGCATAACAGTCTAACTCTTAGTCATGGCTTCAAAGATGCAAATGTTCACCTCTGTGTTGGATCAATCATAAAGCTATAAAATGAATGTGTGTCATGAAATCGCCAATAATTAATTAATTAATAGTTCTATTATTAGCTGCTGTAAAATGCCCAGTTTCAGAAGCACTACTAACTCATAATGCCAAGCAGCTTGGGGGAGATTTCAAGAACCTTGATAAAAATGTTGATCACAGGCACCTAGTTCTTCTGTATTAGCTTTTCTGTGTGTTTCCAAATATTGTCAGAATTTAATATCAAGTACCTATTTTGACAGATGGTGTAAAAAATACAATTCCTTTCAAGAAGAGGTTCTTTCACAGTCTATCTAATGAAGAATCACAAAAACACCCTGTGTCCTCAGTCCCCGGGGAGCTTCTACCTCGCTGGCCAGTCGAGTCTAGAGCTGGAGATTCCATCACAATGTGTCTGTCGAACTTGTCCAATAGTAATAAATAAGTCAGTTCTCTGCTTTGATGCTGACACTGTACACTGAGAAGTGATAGCGCCTGGTGTGCTGCCCTGTGTTACTATTTGCTGGGGGTGGTAAAATGAATTTGGTTATAGACAAGGAAGTTCAGTCTCTGAAACTCTCACCATTACATCATCTTTTTTCTGCCTCAACTTCCTGGTCACTTAATTTTTTCGATTAAGTTTCAAGTTTTCCCTTTACTGTTCTCAGCTTGGATACAGGTGTTGAGACTCTGGTCCTAACCATAATGGAAAATAGAGCTTTGGCTAGAGTCAGAATGATCTGCAACTGGTTTTCCAGTATTTTACAAGGTTAGTAGGTGACCTTGTGAACATTCCAAACACTTTTACTGGGCTGTTAACACATAAACGATAAGATCTGCGGTTGATTGCTGTAGAGATTAAATGAGAGCCTGTGTCAGGTGTGAACCCGGTAGGTGCACCTGGCAGGTGTTCTTTCTGGATCTCCTCCCACCTCTCCCCATCCCAAAAGAAGAACACTTGGAGAATATTGTGCCATCCCCCACTCAGGCTCTTTAACACCAGCACAACCTCTTTTGTATGTTGGGGTTTGTGGTAGAGCCAATTTCTGTTGAAAGTGGGGTGCTTTAATGTAGCAACTTGGAAATCGCCCTGCTCCTGGTGCCTGGTCTGAACAGATTCCAAGGAAAGGAAGCTCACAGGAGGTGCATGAGGGGCCAGAGGGGACCCTGGCAGAGGACAGAGAACTGGCACAGGACTTGCCTTTGCATCTCTCTGTGGAGGGGTATGTTTTCTCCCACCCCAACAGAGAACTTTCATGGCAGTTAGAAGAATATCTACAGCATTCCAGAAGCTTTTCCTTAAAATCGCACTCCCTACCTCACCCAGGATGAACAGATCAGTCATGATGTTCAAGGAAAAGAAACCATCAATTTTGGAGGAATGAGTCAACATGACTTTTTAATGCCAGTCTAGCCTCAAGCCAATGTGCCCAGCTGAAGTTTAATAGATAATGGCCCAGGAGAGTTTTCATCCAAATCTGGAGATAAGATAAGCACAGGTACTGATGATCATGAAAACACACATACACACATGTGAGTGCACATGCGCACACAGGCACACATGCACTCATGCACGCATACACACGCTTGTGTGAACACAGGAATACATGCACATTCAAACAGAGTCCTGGTGTTAATCAGATCCCATGGAAAGAAACTTACAGGAATTAGATAAAACAGGCAGACTTGTCTCTAAGGCAAGTCAAAGAAATATTACTCACCATCACACCAGCGCCTATAATTCCTGGAAACCACCACTCAAAGCAAGAGATGGGGTTTTTAGAAAGGTCATCATCGTTGTCACCATCGACGAACTTGACAGCCAGAGGGATGACATTGAGGATGACGCCCAGCAGCAGCAGGATCAGCAGGCAGATCCCGTTGCAGGACGTCCAGCCTTCGCAGCAGGTCATGGTCCCTCCCTGGTGGAGCAAGAGCCCAGCAGCCTGTCGTGGTGGGTGAGTGGCTCTGTCTGTCTTTTATCCTGGGTTCTAGTTAAAGTTTAGCAGTTATGAAAAATGATTTCTAGAAATAGTTCAGAGTCCAATGTTGCAAGTCTACAAAGAACTATTAAGGAAGTAGGATACTTTTATGTTATCAGGGGTAGGGGGAAGAGAAAGGAAAAATCTATAGTTTCTTTTAGATAAGCATGTAAACAGATCACAACATAAACAAGAAGGTCTAAAATATTCTTGTCTACCAAGTTTTACTAGTGTACTGTATAAAATGTAAGAACGAGACAAACTTTTACTCCTGGGTGAGACAAAACTTTTATTCCTGCTAGTTGACATTATTACCAGCAATGGAAGTTCCTAATTTTGATATTGTTCCACAAGAAAGTGAAAATAGGTGGCATTGGGGGGACATAGTTCCTGTGCTGCAAATGACCTTGATCAGGCTCAACTTCAGATTGTAGGTTTGCACACACAAAACATCAATTCCTTGTTCCAGTCTGGTAGACAAATCCATTTAGAGGTCTAGAACTCATGGGAGGCGTGATTAACACTGCGAGACTGAACACGCTCTTGTCTGAAACAGGACCAGGAGAGTGATTGGAGAGACTCCATCATGTCTCTTTCTGTCACGCCTTGAGCTATTACCTGCTTGTGTACAGTACATCACTGGACTCAGTTTCCACACTGTCTCCTACTAGACTACGATCTCCTCAAGTAGGAGTGAGGGTAGGTGGTAAAATACAGAAGTTCCCACTTATGCTAACTGATACTCATGGGTTGACCAGCTGGCTCTGCTCCTGGCAGTCACTGGCAGAGCCAGCAGGGAGATGCCTTCCTTAATAAGTGGGATGCTTTGTGACTACATTTTCTAGAACCATTGTGTATTTACTTTCTAAAAATTAGCATTTAAAATTGCCTTCCCTCTGGACTACAAGTTATATGATTATAATATTATATAAAGAAATTGAATATTTATTGTTGGGTTGACTGCCTGGCAAAAGATAGTTATTTTTGAATGTAGACTCTGCAATTTTAAATCCTTTTCCCGACTTCACAAGATGTTGAACTTAAAAAGCCATTTAGATATTGGTTTCTTCATAGAATTTGAAATGGAAGATTTTACCTGACTATAAAATCAAGAGAGAGAGTCAGAATTCTAGTCTCTACTCCAAAGCCAAACCTGAGTATATAGCGCACTTTCCTGGGATACCACAAAACCTACTTCCACTGGGTTCGGTGCTCCTCCCGTTTATGTCTGAAAGTATGTACCTCAAGAATTTGGGGAAAATGCGGGAATATAATCTGTACTTTATAAAGGGGAAGATATTTAAGGATATATTATATATCTGAAATGGAGACTAGCTAAAAACTAGAAAAGAGAAAGCATAGTAGACAACTTGTGAGGTTTCCTCCAACCTAAATGCCTGCTTCTGTGAAAACAGCCCCACAACTTACTTGAATAGAGCTTCAGCATTAATTTGTATTGTGGAAATCTACTCTGCTAGTCACTGCTTCTAGGAAAATATAGATAGATAAAGAAACATGGTTTTTGCAATCATTCCTGGGACCCTAGTTATTCTTCACTGACCATGAGAAGGAAAGACATGTGTTATCATTTATGAATAGGCTTTCATTGCATGAAAAAAAATGCAAAATAGCAATAACTTAAACAGAATAGAAATTTAGTTCATCACACAAAATAATCCAGGTTAAGACCACTTTCAGCTCATGGATCCACTATCTCTTCAGTCCATCTTCTGACCTATCTCATTAGCTATTATATAGCCATGTGGTAACATTTAGCTGCAAGGGAGTCTGGGTCATATTTTTATTTCAAGTGATGTGTGGCTGATTAGAACAGGAGTGGGAGGTGTGGAGGTAAGAGGTAGAATGTACTGAGTAGGTAACTAGTCATCTTTATCATAGCATATAAGCTCACAAGCTAGGCTACGAGAAGGAGAAATCAAATCTGCAATCAAAAGGAAGGAGTAGAGGAGAAAGAAGTTAGAGATCACTGGTGGTTTTTTAAATTTATTGATTTATACATGCAGAACTGGAGTACAAGCCAGGGGCCCGGGGGTAGTAAGAGAATTCAACAGAGACAGTAGGGAGCAGAACAGGCAGATCTACAAAGTCCACTGCTGAGGGGAGCAGCGGAGAGACAGGAGAGGTCTGCCAGCCATGTGGGTTGGCTCCCTGGCTGGGGGTTGAACTCACTGTGGCTAGCTTTGCAGTGCTATGCTTTAACCCATTGATCTACCAGGGAGGGCCCGACCATTGCAAGGAAGCAGAGAAAGATAGTTACCCTGGCCTCTCAGTGGTATTCTCCTTCTTGATTTCTACCCTTTGAAGACTGAGTACAGGGCCTGCCTTTTTTTTTTTTTAATTGTGAGATGCTCCTATATTCTTATAATAAAATATTGCTTTTATACCACTTCCCTATGGTGGGTCTCTATTTTTTCTTCTTCTTCTTTTTTGCAAATAAAAATACTAAAACTTAAACCTACGAAAACTAAGGATAGAAAAGGATACTAATCACTTTTCACATGCTATACTAAAACAGCTAATGGAGTTCAGAGAAAGAAAGGGCTCTATAAAGCAGAGAACCTTATTCCTTTCAAATTTGAAGGATATCTAGACTTTGACATAAAAAATGCTCAGAGTGACGTCCAGTGCCCCAGGGTCAACTGCAGAAGCCAAAACTCTTCTAGCTCTGTGAAGGAGGAGACGTAATTGGGAAGTTATGTGAGCAAAACTTTAGAGAAGACAGACTCTGGGCTGGCTCCTGGGAATGCCTGCTAGGACATGACTACTCAGTGACCCCAGGGAAGCTTCCACCTCTGCAGCCCTCAGAAAGGCTGGGGAGTCAAGAAGCCACCTCTGGAATGGCCCAGTTCAAGCATATGCCATGGCAGCTGCCCCTAGGAAGCCCCTACCTGGTTCTGTCTTCCCCTCCACACCTCACGCCCGGAGGGTGTCTGGTCCAGGAACAATGGATTTGGCCTGACAACTGCAAGTGCTTCTGAACTTCGGCAGGGCTTCTTTGCCAAGCAAGCACATTGCTGCAGTGCACAAAGGCAACAATCTGCCTCCATTACTTTCCCTTGGCCGAAGCAACAGGACCGGGACCTCATGTCTGCCTTCCCCATCTTGCAAGGGTCAATGCAGTTATTGCCATCTTCAGGCTCCAGAGGCAGAGCATTCTGGGAAATGTAGTTTTTTAATCACTTCTGACATTCATCTCATAGTGATCATTATAAACAATGTAGAGAATCTTTCTCTAGATTTTCTGGTATCACCATGTACCAGATCCTTCCTTATTGATTGGAATTATGTTTATGATTCTTCCATGTGTTGGATGTCTAGAATGTATAGAAATTTCAATTCACACGTCTAAAATATTTTTTAAAAGAAATAGAAACTACCTGCTTAGTCAAATGAGAACACTTAAAGAGTATTAGAAAATCTTGGTTATGTGAGGGGTGGGAGAGAGTTCGTGTATGAGGGGGAGTGGAGTCCCAGCCAACCAAGTCACTTTTGTGCCACTGATGAAAAATGGAGCAAAACGCCCCATCCCTATGCTCCCTCTTCTAGCTCCCTATGACGCTTTCCCCACCTCCCTGCACACACACACGCCCAGGGGCAGTAAGGATTGTATCAAACACCAGGGACGACATTTCCAGAATCTCTCATGTTCCTACTGTTTTCTGCCCAGTCTTGTCAACCCCTTGACCCTGGAGTTGCGCCCTATGGAAGTTTCCTGAGACATTAAGGTCGCACCAAGGACACACTGAATGTGCCCCTGGATGATGACTCCAGGAGGAGTTCACCTGCTTCCAAAGTGCATTAAGCACAGACCACGCTCTGTCGGGACACTTCCATGGAAGCATGCTGCCATGAGGCTTTATCAGAACATGAGTTCATAGGCAGGCGAAGCTAACTGGCCATAAATGGGGACGCTTTCACCTTCCACAGCAGAGACTTTTTGAGAAGTCTCTCTCCAGTCATGAGTACACTCCCATCTCCCCACAAGTCTAGGCAGGGCCATGGGACTCCCTCTAACCAACAGGAGAGGGAGTCGACTGTCACTTCCAGGCTCAGGAGCTAGAGCAGTGAGGGGCGTTGTCTACTCTAGTTTTCCGCGGTAGTTTAAAGACAACCCAGCGATCTTGGCGGTTGAGTGGAGAATATCATGGGACTGGATGGAACAAGTTCACCCAGCAGGCCCAGCCCTGAGCCACTGCAGCCCAGCGGCAGCCAACGCTGCCTTTCCCCACAGCCAGCTGCCTCCACCCCGGCCATAAGCAGGACCTAGGAGTGGGGTGTGGGGGAAAGTCAGTATCATTTGGCACTTGTCAAATTCACTTATCAAACAAACATGCATTACTTTCAAAATATAAGAGTAAAGTCCAAGTAAATCTTTACTCCCAAGGAGAAGGCATTTGCCTGGGCACTTGTGGGCACTGGAGTTTCTAGAAGGGCCCAGGCTGGACCCCGCGATGGGACCCCCCCCTCCCACTCCACACACACAGAGGTGTTCTCCACCCAGTGACACTTCGGCCTTCATAGGAGTTCTCATGCCTCCTCCCCGCTGCCCCCCACACGCTGGGCTAGAGGAGCGGGGTGAGGGAGGCAGGGAAACGACTCCACCGAAGAGCGCAAGGGCTCCGGGCTCCGCCCTGATCAGAGCAGGGCCTGAGGTGACCGAGGCCAACGAGGCCAACGGCCCAGGCTGCAGCCCAGCGCTCCTCGGGTGCGCTGGCAACAGGAGGCAGCTGCGCAGACCCTCCCGGCTTGGGGCTGAGGGCGTCACAGCGTGCGGGGAGGATTTGTGGTGGGGGGACACTCTTAGGCAAGAGAAAAGACAGACGACTTGTCCCGTTCTTCCACTGAGCCAATACAGAACACTCGCATAATACCGTGTCTGCCATTCCCGGGAAGGCTGGCAAGGCCCCTTT